ACTAGTGACGTTAATGCACAATACAACCAGTTTCTTGAGCAGTAGTTTTCCTCATGCTATTATTTCTAGTTTTCAGTCTGAGTGCCTCAAAAAAGACAATCAAAAGCTGATACATTAACTGCACCCAATACATATATAGGATTTATTTTTCGTTAAACGTAAAATAATGTCTAAACTTAAGGCTTTGAGAATCTATTTATCTCACTGATGTTCTGGTATTAGGTTTATTCATCCCATATCTCTTCAAGTCAGTTCTTCTGTATAGCTCGGAGACTTGTTGCGTTACGAAAAGCATTTCCAACAAACTACAGACATTCATCGATAACTGCCTACACTGGCTCGTTCCTGAAGATTAGATGGCCAGAAAGAATAAGCAACAAGGAATTCTGGCTGGCTGACAACGAACCAACCAAGAACATATCACCCAACAAAGATTCAGAAGGAAGTAGAGATGGACTGGGCATACACTGGGAAAGCCGACTGGGAACATCACGCGCTAGGCCAGGTCGTCGAGTGGAACCCAGATGGAGACGACTAGTTGGGCGTCCGACGTGTGGGTGACATGGAGGATACGGTTCGAGAAAGAAATGAGAGCTTGTGGGCAGTGGTGGAGCCAGGCACTGGAGATGTGCTGCTGAAACCCTATGTTCCATTAGGAACCCAGGGGACAAATAATAATAATCTTATATCACTGTATGTAGTAACATTTTCTGAGCTATGGAATATCAGTGGGATAGCAAAACGCCATTGTCTTCGTGTAGATTTCAGTGAGTGCCATCCGTTTCTTGTATTGTAATCTTTTGATTTCACTCATACAAGACCGCTAAAATGTAGGACATTGAAAATATCCAATGGAGAAACTGAGTTGCAACAAATATCTAATATTTATTTGAGTTTCTCCTTACTAAAAGTCAAAAATGTTGACAATTTGGTGTTGTAGGAAGTAAAAATATTATAATTTCCACATAATCCTCAGATATCCAGGTAATTCAAAGCAGCTAAAACGTGGAAGTTCCCGGCTATGAGTTTCTACTCAATTACTAATTTGTAATAAGCTTTTATTCGGTTAAAAATCTAATTGCACTTGATCTTATCTTGAATGTCTCCTAAAGGCTTTAATCTCGACCTAGAAAGATTCGTAAAATGCGTGTAAATGTTTTCGAGTAAAGTATTCTTACAGTCCACACGTTCTGTTCACTTTCTACTTGGTGTAAGTAACAAGTGACTAACTTTATACATGTTAGGAGGTTCTTGTTGTCATATTAAACTTGAAGTTCTATCACTTACCGAAATACAATTCTACTGATGAATTGGGTATAAGTGAACTTAAATCGCCTTCAATCATCCTATCGAGTTTTTAAAGAGAATACTATGAAATACTGGAAGAATATTTTAGGATAGAATGTAACTAGAGTGAAACTTATAAAGAACAGGTTATAAAAACAAGAAGAGATGAATGAGAAAACACAAAATAAAAAATTGAAGAGCCAGAGAAAAGCGTGCATATTCCAGCAAGTAAGCTCGTGTTGAACTACATTTTCGTCTGTATTTCATAACTATAGTCTAAAATACTTCCTAAGTGAGATTGAAGACATGCTGTAACTTACAAGCATCAATGTAAACTTGTTAAAGAAATTTCTAGTCTCACTATTTATCGCTTATTGTTTGTCCTAGGATTCCTTAGGTAAACACATTATCAAAAGCTGTGATTGCACTTCTTATAATGAAATGAGAAATAGCGGTCGTCTTAGAAGCATGAGACTTGATAAATTAAGATATGTAGAACTACAAATACTGACATTGTAGCTCGGGGTCTATGGGAATTTTATTTTTAAAGGGAAATTCATCAGGAATGATATCCATTGGAGGACAGTTGAAAACTTGCGAGCAATAGACAGTTATTTCTTACTACCCAGTAGCTGAATTTTTAACAGGTTTGCTACGAAACCAAGAGGTTTTATGTGCGATCCATGATGTGGTCGTTGGACAGTACCCCTGATGAATCCCGCAAAAGGACGAAAGAGGTGTTCAGTACTCCCAGGTTTTCAGTGGTTCTTCAAATGGTGCCACTTCATGACAAATACCACTTTGTTAATGCTGATATGATTCTCAATCTAAATAGGAACCTGCAGAAAAAAATATGGATCTTTAGGACTTACAGGGTCGCGCGCGCAAAATCATAGTCGTCATAAGACACGATACATTTTCCTTCAACTGATGACTGTGAATACAGTTTGCATATTTTGATGGCGTATTCTCTATGTTGATTAGTTTCATCGTGGAGCTCTGATTGTCATTCTCGGCAATATCATCCACACAAACTTCAGAAAGAAGTGAACTATTGAGTTTCCTCTACAAAGTGCTTAGTAGCTTGTCCTGATGGTCTTGTGTATGTAATTGGTTGTTTCCCCCTTCTTGTCATTGTTTCCATATTTATTTCCACTGGCTGTCCATCACGGTTCGCATGTTTAAAATTTATGGGTGGAATTCACACCAATGTGAGTGTATCAGCAGTAATGAAATATTTTTTTTACTCCTATATCAAGGCTATTCTTTACTAAGCTACACTGTTTGCCTTTTCGGTAACTGGCCGATTCTCACTTCGATAGTGAAGTGGATCAGGTGGTTCGCTAGACTTTTGTTGAACCATATATCACACTCAAAACCATGGTTTTCAACAGTGCGAAGTTCAGCTGTTCAAAATAACTATTGGTTTTGTTTTTCATTCTTGGATCTGAAAATTTGACAAGAACTATTTTGGAACCATTGAAAATTTATTGAAAAAAACTTAATGCTTTTTGAAGTCTCATAGACTCATTAAATTTGTACCATTTCTGAAGATTCAAAAAAACTTTCAATTTGAAGAAAGCACTTTTTCTTTTGTAGTCTAAATTAAACAGATAAGATGAAATCAAAGGTCAACAGTCTTAAGCTCTTGTTCAGTTAGACACTTTTTCAGTCAAGAAACGACAAAGCTAACCATATTTTCAGAAAAATTCGGAAGTTCTATTCGTGTTAATGACAGCTTTCAATAGTAATTTATAATATTTGTCAATGTCAGCTCTAAAAGCTTATGGCTATGTTCACTTGGGTTTGTGTCACCATTTTTTCACAAATAAACAGCTTAAATGACGAATTAAACTAGCAAAATATTTATCAACATAAGAGTTGCTTAATTATCCGAAAAAGATCTCTTGTTACAACTTTTTTGGGCTTACATAAGAGAAGAAATCAAAAAATGTCACTGAAAATAAAAAGTGTGTCTTGATTTATCCTGTAGCAGATATTTATGTTTATGCGACATTTCCCTAAAACTCTAAGTGGGAATGTTTTTCTGTTAATTGTTCATATTCAAATAAAGATAATGAACGTCTAAAACTTCTATGAACATTTGTAAAGCATTAGGAAAATATATAACCTAAAATAATGTCAAAAAACTTAGAAATCTTTCGCTTATAGAGACAATTATATATCTACTTCGTTATACACTAAAATAGATTGTCATTGTACAATTTATGTGAATAATCATGCAATAGTCGGTTCATTATATGTGTATATTGTCTCTGAGCGATGTTTTGTTGACCAAACATTTGCGTCATCAACAGACATCAGTTACAAGTTAATCTAACACTTCCCTCTGGGTATGATAAAGAACATTTGTTTTCAAAATCCCATGTTTTTATATTTATATATCTTCCACAAAAGTTATGAGGATGCCAAACAGAAATGATAAAAAATTCAGTAAACAAGCATTACTGTTTAATAACCCGAATAAAAATTTCGGCAGTTGAATAAATACTTATAAGTCAATCTTTGCAACACCACTGACTGATTTCTGGCACTTTACCAAATAAACTGTAAACTAAGAAAATGTAGGTGTTCCAATGATTCTTGTTTTATGAAAAAAGTATAGTCTTATTGACATATTTACAAAACTTCTTCTGTAATGTCTAAATTCAGTAAGCTAGATGAGAATACTTTAACGGTATACATAAATTATTGTGAAAAATTTCATTTCTTATGTGTTATGAATGAGACTTTGTCAAGAGAATAAATAAATCACTCTACTTTCGTGATACTGTGTAAACGAAGGAGAATAATTAGAGTGAAATAACATAAATAGCTACCACAAGATCTTACTGAAGACTCACTCCTTAGTTTTATAATAGTTTGGTGGGTAAATTTTGGTGCAGATAACACAGGTTTACGAAGAGTAAAGATTTTTGGTAAAATATAAATGGCTATTATGAGAAAAATATATCAGGCTGTGCCACCTAATTTTAGAGAGTGAAGAATAAAGACGCAGAGACATTTTGTAACGAAGTATATTTAGTCAACTGAGACCTTTTCCCTCTGACTTATGGTTTCATGGAAAGCACCGGTCAGAATAAGTATATCTAATACTTTAAGAAGTCTCTGAGAATGAGCATCAACTTAATTCCCTACTCATTACTATGGCCTTTTCTACTTTTATTAGGCTGTGAATTATATTTAAAAGTCGACTTATGTCTGGACATTATTTCTTCTTATAATTTTGTTCAGTCTAACATAATGAAACTAATATCTTACATATTGCAAGCAAAGTGCACTTAAAATATTGCTAATACTCTTATTGACATTGTATAATATACTCTTAGTTATCGTATGAATGAATTGATAAAGCAAAATAAATATCGCATAGCGGCATTATGCTAAAGATACTTTCTAGCATATCGTCATAGGCATTAATTTTCTGTGAATCTAAATAATTCTATGACAAAACATTATTATGACGAGTAGTGTGATATACATGCTACTACTTTACCTAATTTTAGTAATTTCCTAAGATTTTCATCTTCTTACAATCACTGTTCTTTTCTTCAGAAAACTCATTATCCTGATGTTTATGCTCGTGAGCAGCTAGCTTTGCGAACTGGCCTAACCGAGGCTCGAGTCCAAGTATGGTTCCAAAACAGGCGAGCTAAATGGCGTAAACGTGAACGGTTAGGTGGAGTGGAAGCATGACCAATGGATCATCTGATCTCGGATTACATTTATCTTTTCCAGAACAGAATGATTTATCTACAATTAATAATTCTTCTACATCTACAGCTGTCTTCGCTGCTGCAGCTGCGGCATGTGCTATGGCTGCTGCTGTTACAGCAGGAACTAATTTACAAGGAAATAATTTGACTACAACAAACAATCATTTTAATAAACACAATGAAACAAGCATCAGCGGGGGTAATAATTGTTTAGTTCCACGACCTTATTCCTCAGCTTTTATAACGAGGCCTAGTGTAACGGATACAAGACTACTAAGTAGTGTATTCGATCCACATAACACAGTTTACACACACTTAAACAATCATGAAACTAGTTTACTGCATCCATCAAGGCATTTTTATGAACCAAATCCATATTTATCATTCACACTAAACAAGTTAACAAGATCAAGTCCAAATAATGATATGAACAGTAGAAAAACATCCCATGAACTTGGAATTATGACGTCTACAAGCATGATGACTAAAGAAAAAGTTGATGGAAAAAACTTATTCAGAGATGAATTCAATATTTTTCGTCAGTCATCAGTTGCAACACCTGAAATTTCGCCATTACTTATCAATAAATCTGCTTATTTACATCATGGTGAAGAAACTGACCAATTTCAACAACAGTTTCATCACCAGCATCCTCATCATCAACATAGTTCACCTGAACCTAATACAGGTCTCATGAATGAAAGTTGGCAATCCGTTTCAGATATTAGACGTCATACAGCAAAACAGGTACTTTCAGCAAATGAAATTCCATCAGATCGCTTTAAAAAATATTCCACATCTGCTGGTTTTGACTGGTCGTTAAATCTTCATAATACTCACAACGACAACTGTAATAATAACAGAACTAATTTCAACTGTTACCCAATATCTGAACCTACAGAAAGAGACATTCAGTCACAAGTTAATCAAACTGATCTGAACAAAAATGACTCGATTGATCCAAATGAAGATGCAACTACCACTACCAGAAATAGTCATATATTTTGGAATTCAGTACCATTACTGGATTCATTGAAATCAACAAATTCACCATATGTGAATCATACTGGTAACAATAATCGTGATCTCACTGTTACTTCATCCGACGTCAGTACTGTCACATCTATCTCCAACAACGTGGATAATGATGATAGCATTAATAACCATAAAAATAATAAGCTGAAATCAGGCTCAACATGGAATTTTCCGATAGAATTCAAAGAATCCAACTGGTTACATAATAAGCAAGCAAAACATTTCTATGATGATCACAGTGCAACCTTGAAGTCGAGTATATTCAATGAAAGTAAGCTATATATCTAGTTTAGTTTACTTAACCTACGGAGTATACTTCTGTTGAATTGCATTACATTCTAGTTCTTTAAATATCTGTTCCATGAGCAACGAATGATGTTTATTCAGAAAATAAGACTATATTCATTAGTTGAAGACTTTTGATGATTCTCCGTCTTAGTGTCTTTTTTCCTTAGCATTATTACAAAAAGTGATCAGTCTACGTTTCTGTGTTATCTAGTCATTATTATAGATTACTCAGACTCTGAGAGTGACGAGAGTAGCAATACAACTAAGACTAAGGTTGCGTAATAGCTAATCTAAAACAACATTTCTCTTCGGCAAGCTACGTAGATGCCATTTGTTTCTAAACAATAAGTTAATATTTTTCTGAACGAAACTAACGTGAAGTGCTATTTCATGGATGAAAATTGAGTAGTGTATGAACACTTAAAAGTGGCTCGCTTTCCAGTGTTCTCTTCTTTTTTCATCTTCATCAGCTACTTCCAAAACAGTGCTTGTTAGACTTCCAATAAATAAGTCAACGCTAAAGTTGTTTGAAATCTTAAAGTTTTGTTTATCTGAATGAGCATTGAAAATATTTGGAGCTCAAACTAAAAGGGATAGCTTGAATGAAAAGTCAACTAGGCAGCTTAAAGCGTAACTAAGGTGGTAGTTTTTGAAAATTGAACAATATCTGTATGCATAAGATTAATTGGTGAAGAAACCAAAATATCCACCACGTTTCATAGGTTGTAACTCTGATTACGACAAGGAATACAGATTGAAAAGACTACTTACTACGTAGATAAGTTGATATAAAATTAAATTTGAACCTGTTTTGAATATGAAGGTCAGCTACCACCTATGGCAAAACGATTTCTTAAAATCAAACTACTCAGTAATGACCGTGAAAACGCTCTTTACGTCCATTTTTTGAAAGTATGCTAGATTCAGTAGGTTTGTACTGTCTGACAACTTTGAGTTCCTAAGAATAATTTTACCAAGAAGCTCTGGGAGGCATTTTCACTGTTTCTATGAGGTAGCCGATTTTGTATGTGTTTATCTGAGTTCATAAATGTAGTTCGAGTTGAAATGAGATGGTTATATATCCAGTTTCATTTGTATTAATAAATAGAACGTTTTGTAAAGAAGTGTTAGTTTTATTTCAGAGAATTTAATAATCCATAAAGTTATAAGCTCTTGATTACTAGTACTGATAATATTGTCACTCTTGAAAACCAGTTACATGGAAAGTAATTTTTTCATAGATCTATCTTGTAGAAACTTTAAACAGATGTAATCATTTTTCATCATACGCATTTAAAAGCTACCAGCTGTCTTAGAGACACTTTTAGTTAGTTGACTTCTACATTCCATTTTACAATTGTAGCATTTCACTAATCGGACAAAATGTGAGGACTATGAAGTAGTGTCAAATCAAAGTTTACTTGTGACAAATGGATATTCGTCAGGTATCATCTTTGTCGTAGCAAGATATCGAAAGGCTGAGAGTGAAATGTTTCATCACTTTTCGATCCCATAAAAAACTCTACATTCCAGTGAGACTAATTAAGAGATCTAAGTGTACAATTAAGTTGTATAATATTGTCATGTAAAATAAAGTTGTTATCGTCTATAATTTACTGAATGATGTTTGTTTATCCAATGTAAGACTCCCGTTTTCTGCAGGTTAACAACAAATATATAGGCGGTAAATAAGTTAGCTGTACTACTACTAATATACCATGTGCTCCATAGTGTAATTTATTGTTGAAATAAAATGGGATTTTAGAAACTATCTGATTTGTATTTTGAGCTAAAAATATTTTCGTAGCGTTGAATAAAGATATCAATCAAATATTGAAAGTAAATGTTTCTGAATGCCGTGAATAATTCCAGGTAAACTATTAAATTTCTCAGACAGATCTAGTTTGTTCAACAGTTCCGTAAACTCCAATGTTTCCCGTTAACTCGAAAGATAAGCCAGTACGAGTCTGTACCAGTTTGTGTGATAATCACTTGATAATTCTATAATCATAAGGAGAGGTTTTGAAACAGAACTGATTTCAATAGTGCATGTAGTGTGTTCAGTTTTACCTGTTTATACATTAAAAAAGATTTGGAATTTAAGATTTAAAGTCACAATGTTTGCATCATCAATTGAAATTTTTAAAAGCTTTGTAAATTATTTGCTTTCGTAGCTCTTTCAAATTGTATTTTTCTGATTCATTACACTTTTCCCTTTGGTTTTGGATGACATTTAAAAGTCTATACCATTTTCCCTAGGTAATCTAAGTTTTGTCATCAGAAGGATGATTGTTTTGCCTGGTATGCCCCATAGACCTCCTCTGGTAGTGTCCTTTCTTCATGTTCCAACGTAGTACAGCTAAATTTAAAACAAAACCATCAAAGCTATGTGCAACTAGTCTCAATTCTATATCTCTTAGGCTCTTTGCTTACGAATTCAAGTCGATGGTATCATTATTTTAATCTGTTTTCTTCTAAAAGTATTTAAAGAAGAAGTAACCCTATAGATTGTTGAGAACGAGGACTGCCAACCACCCCAACTAGTACTTCTGTCAGGACTCATGTCTCTTTTAAACAACACTAACCTTTTGCCTCGTGGCACTCTAGTTTCTTCTGGCGCTATGAATTTTTATGACCTTTTGAGCTAAGTTAATAGCTTCTGTGATCCCTTAAAGGCGTACTTTAGATAACCTTTCGAAGCCAACAATGTTTGTACCCTCCGTCAAATGAGACAACAAACTTCACTGCCTAAATCTCTAGAGTGTCAAGCAGTGAATATGTGTTGTTCCTAAGAGACTTATATAGGATACAGTTTTAATTATCCACTCGGCCTCAACTGGTCAGTACGGTGAAACTTCGGAAAACATTCTTCGAGTATTCAGAGACCCTTTTTTGGTCCTAGCAGCTTTTCGGGTATATGCAGAGCGTTAAACTCTATGGCAGAAACCCACTGCATAACTTGGTCTGAGTTTTCACTTTTCTGCCTTTTCTCCAGATAAATGACGTAGTAAGGAATGTAATGAATACCTGGACAAATCATGAGTCTTAATAAGTTTCATTTAAGCAGTCAGTGTCTACAGTCCAGATGAAGTGAAATATGCGTTCTGTCGAAAACAGTCTATCCTTCTTCGAAAAGCCAAACATTCATATATCGTTGCCTATGCGAGTGGTTTTATGGAAAAGTGGAAATACCAGGCCAGCAAAAAAGGCACGTCAGTGGTATTTATGGAATTCTAGCCAACGGATAAAGGCCTTCAACATAATCGAAGTACAGCATTTCTGAGTAAACTACCTGATTCCATCCAGGAAGAAATTAAGATATAAAGAGAGGTGTTGCCTGACTTAGTGTCCCGAGGCATCAACTGAGCTGTGGATGTAGATAGACTATATCGTTATAAGTTAAAGTAGGGGGAGGAATGGTGAGAGATTTTCGCAGTTCCTACAGTACTTGCTTGGACAACCAGTTTGCGTTGGTTGAAGAACGTCCATGTCTGCCCCCTAATCAGTGTGGGAAAATTTCAATTGAAATGACTTCTGAAGAATACCAGGACGAGAAAAGTTTTTATAACTGGCTTGAAAGAGAGACTAGACGGATAGTTAACGAAACGTTGCAACGCCTGGCATCATCTCTACTTTGCTGCAGTGACAGCAGCAAAAGCCATAGCTAACCCCAGAAAACAGTTCGTACGACCAATGAATCTCAGTGGCTTATTCTGAATTCGTGGGTTCAGGTGAAGGCATTCCTGCAGGCTCGTTACACGGTCATAAGCGGAAGCGGATCGATGGTGAACTAACACGCAGTCATCGGAATACCTGCGAGCCATGGTGAGCATGAAGTCTACAGAGGTGGGGTAAGCAGAAGTGATGGTCGATGTTAAGAAGTCATTTAGACTTCTTAAAAAAATTTCAATAAGGATCTTGCTTTCCAGTAGGATTGTAATGTGTAAGGATAGATATGCACGAAGACAGTTACTCAGCGACGTTATTGGATGGGAATCACGCTATATCGTGAACCGACAGAAGTAGGAAATATGGACCACTGGATTGCAATCCAGTAGCTCAGTGGTAACTCTCTGGCCGCGGATCCTGGAGTTCCTGGGTTCGATCTCTAGTGAGGTCATGGGTGCGCACTGCTGAGTCCTGTACTAGAAGAAAGCAGCCGCCTACTGCCCCAAGTTTTAATGTTTCTCCAACTGTCATCAATCCGTAATGAAAAAAACCCGAAATCTTTAAATGAAATGTGACTACAAGACTACGTAGACATCATTTTAAGAACGGTAGAGTCCCTAAACCAATGCTTGATTATCTGATAACTGTTTCTAGAGTTCCGTTCACGAAAAAGTTTGATCATCTCAAACCCTGCCGTTGGTTGGCAGTTGTTCTGACAGGTGGTTATGGACCATGGCTGGGTTCTGCATGGTCTAGTGCATTATCATCATTGTGTTGTTGAACGTCTTAAAGACAGTTTATTCTCACTGACAATTCAAAAGGAAAGTGAATTTCACTGGGTAGGAAGTAACCAAAATGTTAGGTGATGTGATGTTAACCAACCTTTAAAGCATGCATAGTTTTGAGAGAGTTCGGACAAACGGAATATGTGATCAGTGAGTTGACAGCTTACAATTGATCTAGCCTTATAATCCTAAATCATTTGCCTTGATTTTCTTGTAAGATCCCAGGTGTGCGACAATAACAACCATTTTGACACACAGAATAGAATACAGTCACGTTGTAACTATTTTTCAGAACCTCATATCCTATTTCTAAAAGTAGCTGCGGTGTATAACTTTGACGTTGATATAGTATTTTAATGTTTGACCATTTCTTGGAAATCTGAACACCTAGATGACCGCAAATTGTCTTTTCTTTAAAAAAGGCCATCAGCAGTTTGTACAAAGGACAGCCTGTAACAATACAGATATTAAGGTTATCGCGCTAGTCAATATTAACTAGTTATAAGTGTAAATGCACAGTTATAGATGTTAGTAGAGAACTTATTT